TCTTTTCTTTTCTTTTCTTTTCTTTTCTTTTCTTTTTTCTTTTCTTTTCTTTTCTTTTCTTTTTTCTTTTTTCTTTTTTCTTTTCTTTTTTCTTTCAGTCAATAAAAATAATTACTCCAGGCCTCAAGTGCACATCAGAAATGACATATTCTACATATTCATCCTTCCATATTTATATATGGATATCTGCATCTACTATATATACAATACACTAGAGTGCGATTTGTAACTGAAAGCAGTCATTTAATCTTATCCTCCTTAAATTTGTAATACACGTTGTTTACGCAATTCTTAAGAAGGTGTACTGCCTTATTAACTGGGAGTAGAGCCCTGCTTTTCTAATTGGCCTCAGAGTATGGATATCTACCTGCAGGTAGGTCTATAATCCTGAACTGAACAAATGCCACATTCAGTTTATGGACTTTCAAGATACAGAACAAAATATGCTAAATGGTGGGAATGGGGCTAGCAACATCCTTAGGAATCTATTACAGATTTCTAAATTAGTGGATTTGTGAAATCAGCCAAGAATGAACTTTACTGTATCTGCTAGCAATCTTTCTTTCTCCAATCAAATATCCATGGGGGGGTGGGGGGGAACAGTTAAATCAAAGCTTCCATAAAGATTTTGGGAGGACATTGGGAGAAGTTGGATGCAAAAGCTCTGTTTGCTAAGAAAAGTTTCATAGGGTTTTTTTTTAACCAATATTTTTTTAAAAAATATGTAATTCTTTCCCCTAGACTATAACAGCATCTTAGTAATGCAAAACAGACTACATTTCCACCAATATGCCCACATTTATTTCCTGGTAACTGTGTGATGTATCTCATGATCTATAAGCAGTGGGGTGTATCATGTATTCACAGTGCATCACAATGTTTATATTTGAAAGTAATTTGAGGCATATTTGATCAAAGCAACTCTTCAAGTATTTAATAGGGCTTATTTCAAAGTCAGAGTCGCAGAAAAGAAGGCATCCTAGCATTACATTCCTATCTAAGAAAAAGCTACATTAGATTCAATAGATGTTTTGAGAAATCATGGATAAGAATTTATTTGTGCATCAATTAAAACTACTGAAAAAAATGAAGTTTTTCTATGCATTTTTTCTATGTATAGTAAAATGAAGAGATCCATAGAATGTCAGACAGTTACTATGAGGAAAAATAAAAAGAGAGAAATTTAGGGATTTATATAATACAGCTTGTTGGTTTATAGATTTCTCAGTGTTTTTCCCCTTGCTTTATTGAAGATATATTCTTGTTATTTATGGATGCAGTAATTTTGAATGCAAAAAAAAAAAGTCATGTTAAAAGAATGAAAAATACACAGAATGCAAGTAACTAAACATTCCTTTCGTTATATATAAGAAGTGAGTAAAAACAAGCATAACACCCATAATTTGGATGCTTAAAAAAGAAACAGGAGATCGAGGAAGCTGCAAAGCAGAGATGTACGAGGCCAAAGATTTTTTTATTTATTTTTTTAAAGATTTTTTTATCCCACCTTTCTTATTTTTATAAATAACTCACGGTGGCAAACATACCTAATACTCCTTCCTCCTCCTATTTTCCCCACAACAACAACCCTGTGAGGTGAGTTGGGCTGAAAGAGAGGGACTGGCCCAAGGTCACTCAGCTGGCTTCATGCTTAAGTTGGGACTAAAACTCACAGTCTCCTAAGTTTCTAACTTGGTGCCTTAACCACTATAGTAAACTGGCTCTCATATTTAACATGGTTTGGATTGCAAACTCTGTTAAGGATTGCAAAGTGAGCAGGGCTACATAACACACACAGGTGAAAGTTATTTGGGAAGATTTTTTTTTTTCTTCCTTGTTTTATAACTTTATTATGCCTATTTTGTAGTTTACACTACAGCTGTACCTGTTTCCTCAAAATGGCAGAAAATTGTGCTGTCGGTATTTAGCATTCACAATCAGAGGTTCCTTGAAGAGAACAAAAGAGACCTCTGAGATTGCAGGTTGGGCTTACTAATTCTGAATTAAATTCCCTCATTATCCTATATTATTGCTTTTACTTTAGCTATGCAGCTGTATCCCATAAGTCAAGGTTCCTCAACCTTGGCAACTTTAAGATGGGTGGACTTCAACTCCCAGAATTCCCAAGGCAGAAAGGTCTTAAAGTTGCCAAGGTTGAGGAACCCTGCCATAAGGTGATGTCATAAGACCTCTGACCAAAGACCTCTTGTTATTGGAAGGATTAAAAATAAAATAAATACATTAAATCTGAGCCGAAAAAACAATTGGGGGAAGAATAGGGGTGACTACCATGATCTCAAGATGTGAAACAATCCAATAAGAGGCAGAGGAATAAAAATTAAGTTCAAATCACAATAATTCAAGAGGTGTATAAACACAAACCTCTGCCTCCTGCTTTAATTGAATAAACTTAATGGGATTCTTGCAACTGTCAGCTAATCTGTACCCGGTCTACAAATAATTAAAAAAAAAAAAAAGATTTATACAGTGGTTATGCTCTTGCATTTCTTCTGGTCCTTGTCCACTACCATGATGTCTGGTTGATTGGCCAGTACCTGCCTGTCCGTTTGGATCTGGAAGTCCCACAGGATCTTAGCCCTGTTA